CAATATATTTTTGGTGTGATGTGCGATAAATTAACTGTTAGAAAAACAAGTAAAGATAATCAATCCAAATAAATAAATGAAGTAATAAGCAAATTACAAACTGCTCCTGCCAAAATAATAGTTAGAATTAACTACAACAATCAACCACAAAATTGAATAAATAGCTTTAATTATCTTCCCAAACCAAAACAAAACTATTGAATAAGCGATATAAACAAATTTTTACTACGTTAATAAAACACCGATTAAAATAAAAATAAATAAATAAATATATGAGATAAGAAATAAAAATAGAAAATAAAAATAAAGAGCAAAAATAAATAAAAACAAACAAAATAATTTAAAGCAAATAAATAATTAAATTGATAAATGACTTCCGGCAAAATAACCACCAAAACAGACTACCCACAATGCACCAATGACCGGTATATATAAATAGCCGAGAAAAAAAACAACACCCGTAGCCGATTGCATCTAGCATGAAACAGCCTGTCGCCTCTAAGTGTTGACTTCAATGTTCACTTTTATATTTACACACGCTCTATCTTTGATATTGAGCACTTTATCCCATACCTATAGCACACCTAAAGAGTATATTTCTTTATATGCATATATATATATATATATATATATATATATATATATATATATATATATATGTATATATGCGTGTGTATGGTGTATGTGAGTGTTAAAGCAGTTGATGTAACTCTTACTATATTAAAAAATATTTTTTATCTACTGTAATAACATTTATCGATTTGTCCTGCTTCCTATATTTATGCATTAATTTGATCAGATTGACAAAACATTTTATAAGTTAAAGAAACGCTAAAATAGAAATCTTACCCTCGACATATATTGACATTATTTTCTAGTGTCACGTGTTAAAACTCTCTACAAGAATCAATGTATTTTAACATATTCCAATCTGGTCAGAATATTCTAGAAAACAAAAGTGCCCTCGGGTGTCTATTATACACTTTATTTTTAAAGATAACGAACCATATCTATTTATACAAAATCGATTTCGCCTAAACGTTACTGGATACAAGTTGTTCCAGGTATTTGAGAACAAAGTAGAACCTAAAGAAAAATATTTCTTTTGGGAAATAAGTATATATCAAAAATATTTAGACACAAGTTTGCAATGGAGAAAATCAGGAAAATGTTATTCAAAAAGACCTCCGCCCAGGAACAAGGTAAGAAACAACGCGGTCCCAGAAGCGTTTGCTTGCCTGGTTTTCCATATATATATATATATATATATATATATATATATATATATATATATATATATATATATATATATATAATAATTTTCAATATTTTGTCAAAGGTTTTTTTAAATTTTTACCAGTTTAATCATTAGAATGCTATATCTAAGTTAGTTTTTCCTTGAATCTCATTTATATAAAAAATATAATAATCAATAGAATAAACTTTTTGAGGTGAGTAAACTTTTATATATGGATATATATATATATATATATATATATATATATATATATATATATATATATATATATATATATATATATATATATATATATATATATATATATATATATATATATATATATATATATATATATTAGGCATCTCAAAGCGGTGTAATGGGTAGCGAACTTGTCACGTTTGAACAGTTAAGACTGAGTAGTAAGTTCGAATCCTCACTTGGTACCCTATACTTTCGGACTTATTCCATATTTAAGCTATTTTTGTCTGTTGTTTTCGGGGTTAAAATAATTTTTAATCTTACTAATATAAAGACCCTTACCCGACCACCTCGGAAAAAAGTTTACTCACCACAAGGTATTCTATTGATTATTATATATTTTATATAAATGAGATTCAGGAAAAAACTAACTTAGATATAGCATTCTAATGATTAAACTGGTAAATTTAAAGAACCTTTGACAAAATATTGAAAATTATTTTACAATACACTCAGAACAATATTCTAGAGAAGTCTGGAACAGCTCAAATTAAATCTAGAGTATTCCAGAATATTCCAGAAAGCCTCAACAGTATAAAAACAACTTGAAATAGCCACTCAGAACCACTTATTATCTATTATTGCCCTCTCAAAAGCAGGCAAGTCTACGAGAGAAATTGCAGAAATTGCTATAACCACGCAATCCACTGTCTCTCGAGTGCTTTGGGCACATAATGATGACACTCTTGCTCCAGGGAAGAAAACAAGGGGGCGAAAGAAAAAGATTGATGATAGAACTGGCAGGGTAATCAAGAGAGAAGTTGCGAAGAATAGGACTATAACTAGCTAAGAAATTGCAGCAAATCTAAGCGAAGAGCAGGGTGTTAGTCTTTCCTCTTCAACAGTCCGTCGGTGGCTGTTAGAACAAGGCTACAAATCTTGTACACGAAGGTTAATAAGCAAAGCCAACAAAGCAGAGATACTTGAATGGGCTCACTATTACACAAATTTCACCGTAGAAAACTGGAAGAATTTTCTCTTCTTCGATGAAACGAAAGTTGAGCTAAATTCAAAGGATAAGCAATCTAAAATCCGAAGAAGCTTTGAAAGCTCTTTGAATTTAGCAGTAACTACTTCCAAGCATCCGTTCATTTTAATGTTCTGTGGATGCATTTCTTTTCATGGAACTGGTTTCTTAAAACCTATTGAAAAGATCCCCAGGAGCGAGCAGTACAAGAATTTTAGACTCTTGTCTGCTTCCTTCTGCTGAAAGGTGTCCACCAAGCTCATTTTTATGCAGGATAATGATCCCTGTCACAAATCAAAAATGATGAAGGAATACTTTGATGAGAAGCAGGTGAGTGTTATGACATGGCCGCCCCAATCTCCTGACCTCAACCCCATAATCTTACATATAGAAAGATGAGCCATATATGCTGCAGCACTGTTCAACAAAAATCTAAGAAAAAGCATTGTCAAATTCAAAGTTTAACAGAATTGTAAGGTAAAAGGTAGATTGTGCTTACAGTTTACCGTTAACTCGAATATTTGGCCCAATAAAACATTCTTATCAACTCGAACTTTTTCTAACATCCTGACCTGACAAATGCTTAGCAAAAGTTTTACCCCTCATATGTACGTCAGACCTTTCCTTAGTAGAAAGTGTCCACATTGAATACAAACTCTTGACATCTGCTAATAGAACGGTTTTCGCTATGACATGGCAGACTAAGACAACTTTCAATTTTATATTGCGGGAGCCCCTATCCAATTCCAGAAAAGACCAAACAGCCAACCCTGGTTTACCCATAAATGCGTTGCACCCATTATTTTACGGGAGCAACTACTTCAGTATAATAGCGCAAGGAGCGGTGTAGTCTGGTCTTTATTTCAGCACCGCCTGCAATCGCTTTTTACGAGTATTTAAATATGCCAACTGCAGCTATACACAAGCTGTCTTGGACAAGGTTGAAAAGAAACAAATTAGGACTCTCGAATTCTAGAAAGTCACCAACCAAATTATGAGCAGAGGCATAGCGGCTGTGCCCAGTATTATAAATGGCCGCAAGGATAGGGGCTCCCGTATTATAGAACTTCCTCGGCACACAAGGTGATGCTCTTCGCCTCAATCTTTGCCTCAAACTCAACGTTAGATGACAAAAGCTATCCCCTCTCCAACTTCCCATGTCTCACTGAGCTTTATCTTAATATATTCATTTCAGTAAGAGAAAACTCTTGACTTATCAAAAGCCTAAGCCCCCAAAAAACCACAGGAGTAAAGTTTCAGTGGTTATTCTTAATGATATAAACCCAGATTTATTCCCCAAAATTAGCGAAGTTATTCAACTGCTGTTTGAACGAGAAATCTTTCCCAAGCCTGTGGAAGAAGACTAGCGTATGCCTGGTCTTCAAGAACACGAGCGATTCTCCTCATCCCAGTATAGTCCTATCAGCCTCCTCGGCATCTTCAGTGAGCATTATTATGACACTAATCAACGAAGAGGTCCTCGAGTATTTAGATAGGAAAACTTCCTGTGCGACGAGCAGTATGTGTTTTGATCAGCCCGATCCACTGCTGATGGCCTAACTACCATTACACACAGACTGAGTAAGGCCCTCGACGTCACACACATCTCGAGGACCATAGCATTAGATGCCTCGAAAGCCTTCGACATGGTGGGGCACCAAGGTTTTCTAAACAAGCTTATAAGAGCCAGATCAAGCCGAAAATGTAATGTTGTCATATTTGGGCGGGAGCTGCCCAGTCCTCACTTTCCTATCTCGAGAGTTCAAAAGCGTCTTGTTAGAGAAGAATTATTTTCCCCACTCCAACATTTCTCGTTGGTAGTATATGGCCAGTTTCTCTTGCGCTATCGCAACATCCATGGAAAGTGCTCAGACGAACTACAATCATTGGTTCTGTCATGTCTAACCTTACCACCTGTTAATCTCACTCGACATTAAATTTTGGATTTTGACCTAAGGATGTTCTTTAAATACCGTAATTAACCATGTATAATACGCATTAATCCATAATACGCACCCTTATAATTGTGTTGAAAGTGTGGGAAAATGCTTATACTCACGCATAATACGCACTTCTTGTTTGCTAATCAAACCCTATAAATTTTACTTCTCCAATTTCATTACAGCCAGTGTTTCCTACTCTGATTAAAAAATGATTTTAGATATAGAATTATGTTAATTTAATTTAGTTTTATGATAATTCTTATTTTATTTTACATTTGTAAGTATTGTTAGGTACATATGATTATATTTGACATCCTGATGGGATCGCAATTGCCGAATGTTAGTGTCAAAATCTAGTATGTTTATGGTGTGTAGTCATTTCGCAACTGAAATCGACCATATTTGCTTATTATTTTTTAGATTAAAATGCGTATTATAGATGAACAATTACGGTAACACGGAGAGGATATATAATTTCAATATCATTGTTCGACTTTCTGTCTGTGGAAATCTTTAGTCTGCTGCTTAACTTCTCTGATCAAAAAGGAACCGGTGTTCCAACGTGATGTGGCCGTAAGACAAATCATTTTTAATGTTCTTATTTTTTTTTTCATATTTTCTCTGTTTTTTTTACACTTTCCTTTTTTATTTCCTGTTCATCATTTTCTTTCTTTATCTTTTCTTTTCTTTTTCTTATTACTTTTTATTGTTTCCTGGCATTTCGTTTTCGACATTTTTTGTTTTCTTTCTTCTTCCATCGCCTTCTTTTGCTTCCTTTCTTATCACCTTCGTTCATCCTTTCTGTTTTCCTTTCTTTTTTTTGTCTCATTGTAACATTCTTTCCTTTTTTCCCTTTTCCCTCTTTTTCTTTCTTCTTTTTGTTTACATCTATCTCAGCTTTTATTCTTCCTTTCATGTCTCTTTTTGGACTTCTATTCTTTGATGTCGCAAGCTTTCCTTTCGCTTGCTTTCTTAATTTCTTTTCATTCTTTTCACTTTTCTCCGCTTTTTTTTCCCTTTCTTTTCTTTCCTTATTTTCTTTCACTTTTATTCTTTTTTCCTCTTTCTGCTCCTTTTTTTTCACAGCTTTTGCTAGAAATTATTTGCCTTCTTTCTTTCCTCACTTTTCTCTCTGTCATTTTTTTTCTATTCTTCATTTCCTTTTTCCTCTTCCTCTTTCTTTTTTTTCCCCCAACTTTCATTCTTTCTTAACGTTTCTTTTCTTCTTTTCATCTTTCACTGCCATTTTTCTTAGATTTTTTTTTTTCCCATTTCCGATTATTTTTTTCTTTCTTCTTTCTTTGAATTTGTCTTTTTTTTTTTAAACTTTTCTCTCCCCCTTTTCTTTCCTTCCTTTCTTTTCATTCTTCCCATAGTTTTCTTCTCTCTCACTTTTTCATTTTCATTATTTCATTTTTTCCACCGCTTTCCTTGTTGACTAAAATTCTTTCGCTTCCTTTCTTATCACCTTTGTTCATTTTTCTGTTCTTTCTTTCTTTCTTTCTTTCTTTCTTTCTTTTTTTCTTGTATCATTTTTACATTCTTTCTTTTTTTCTTCCTTTTTCCTTTTCTCTTTTTTTTTCGTTTTCGTTATTTCTTTCTCAACATTTTCTTTTCTTTCTTTTTAAAAAGAAAACAAAATAGATGAGTCTAAATCAATGTTTCCCAACCATTTTTATCCCTTGAAACACCTGATCGTATAGTTAAACTTCGCAGAACACTTATATTACAACACTCTTTTTTTTTTCTTTTTTTCTTTTTTGTTTTGGTTTATTTCTGTCTCAGAATTTTTCTTTCGTTCTCTTTTTCTTCTCGGTTTGTATTCTTTCCTGGCATTTCTCTTCCGACATTTCACTTCGGACATTTTTTATTTTATTTCTTCTTCTATCGCCTTCTTTCGCTTTTTTTCTTAGCACAGTCGTTCATTTTTTTTCTTTTGTTTGTTTCTTCCTTTTTCTTTCTTTCATTTTTGTTGGTACTTTTTCTTTTCTTCCTTTCTTTTCATTCTTTAAATTTTAATTTCGTTTTCCTCTATCTTTTTACAAATCTTTCCTAGATTCCTAGCATTTAACTTTCTTCCTTTTCTTTCTTTCTTTCTTTCTTTCTTTCTTTCTTTCTTTCTTTCGTTCGTTCGTCCTTTATTTATTTATTTATTTTTATTTTCCTGTACTTTTTATTTTCAGTCATTGTTTTCATTTTTCCCTTTTGCTCTTTTCATCTTTGTATTTTTTTAAATTTTTCACAACTTTTGTTCTTTCCTTGTTTCTTTTTTGGTTTCCTTTTTCATTCTTTCTTTCTTTCTTTTTTCTTTCTTTTTATTTATGCTAATTTTTCCTTTACTTTTTTATTTTCTTTCATTATTATCATTTTTCCCTCTTCTCTTTCCATCTTTGTATTTTTTAATTTTTTCATAACTTTCTTTCGTACTTTCTTTCTTTCTTTCTTTATTTATTTTCATTTTTTCCTGTACGTTTTTTTCTTTCATTTTTCTTATTTTCCCCAGTTTCTCTTTTCATCTTCGCATTTAACTTTTTCTCGATTTTCTTTCTTTCTTTTATTTACTTTTTTCGCTCTTTACTATAAAATAAAATCAACGAAACTCAATCGAGTTACGAATATATTTTATTCATAAGCGTCGAACAGAATAAATGAAATGCAAAACTATATCAGTGCTTCGATCTTCTCTTTTAAAATGTTCATGTTGCAACCCGTACTTCCGGTTAGATGCGGTGATACCCTTTTAGGTGTCCCGCTTTATAATGAAACCTTCCTATCTACTAAACGCTTACATTTTTTACTTTTCTGTTTCCCTTTCTCACGACTTAAATTTTTACTGCCTTCCTTTTTCTTCATATATTTTTCTTCTTTTGTCAGCCTCTATTTTTTTTCATTTTTTTTACTGATTCTTTTTTTCTTCACTCTTAATTCTCTTCTTTCATTGCCTCTTCCTTTCTATTCTGACTTACATTTCGTTGTTTCTTTCATTTAATAAGCGTTCATTTATTGCCACAACAATTTCCCATTAATCCTCCTTCGGGATACACTAAACGCAATCGGCAGATATCTTTTAGCAACCAATTCTACGGAGTTTCCTGTTGTAAATCTCAATGTGACGAGCCTTCATCCGTACGTTCTTTCTTTCTTTATTCCTTCCTTTCTTTCTTTCTTTCTTTCTTTCTTTCTTTCTTTCTTTCTTTCTTTATTCCTTTCTTTCTTTCTTTCTTTCTTTCTTTCTTTCTTTCTTTCTTTCTTTCTTTCGTTTTCCCCTTGTTCTTTTTTTCCATTCTGTGCTTTCTTTCTCATCTTTTTTCATTTTTTTTTTCTAATTTTTGCCTCCAACTTTCCTTCCTTCCTTCCTTCCTTCCTTCCTTCCTTCCTTCCTTCCTTCCTTCCTTCCTTCCTTCCTTTTTTTCTCCTTGTTCTTTTTTTTTTTCATTTCTTTTTTCTAATTTTTGCCTCCAACTTTTCTTTCTTTCTTTCTTTCTTTCTTTTTTCTTTCTTTCTTTCTTTCTTTCTTTCGTTTTCTCCTTGTTGTTCTCTTTTTCCATTCTGTCCTTTCTTTCTCCTCTTTTCTTTTTCTAATTTTTGCCTCCAACCTGTCTTTATATTCTCTTTGTTTCGTGATCTGACAAAAGATCAAAGAGTCTGGAAAACACACCTAGACACCAACGAATCGAAGAGATGCTATCGCGTTTCTCTGGATATTGGCTGTTAATAATGCTGCATTGACATTCCATTTATCTGCCTGTTTTTGTTGTAAACGAATTCTGGCATCTCTTTATTAAGCCATGTATATTCCATATAGATGACGTTTGAAGTGTAGTCCATTATACCAAGCAGATAATTACACGAGGAGGTAATAACAGTTAATATATCTCGGCTTTCGTATAAGTCAATTTTGCATTTGTTACCACCGTCCTTATTATTACGTAATCAACGCCTGGTGTGTTTATTCGCAAATGGAAACAAAGAGTTCACCGTATGAGCTCGGTTACTAGACGAAGATAATGCCTTCATTAAACTAAAGTTTAGCACACACGTATACTTTGACACTGGGAGTTTAGAATGTATATTAGTGTCTATCAAATGTGAACCGATGTTGCAACGTGATGTGGCCATAAACCAAAACCTTTTGTATAATGTTTTTTTTCTTTCTTTCTTTCTTTCTTTCTTTCTTTCTTTCTTTCTTTTCCTCTGTAGTCTATTTTCTTTCTTTCTTTCTTTCTTTCTTTCTTTCTTTCTTTCTTTTCGTTACACACTATTTTTTTTTATTTTCGTCTCATTATTTTCCTTTCTTTCTTTCTCTTTTCTTTTTCTTCTCGGATTTGTTTCCTGGCATTTTTCTTCTGAAATTTCACTTCGGACATTTTTTCTTTTCTTTTTTTCTTCTATCAACTTGTTTCAGTTTCTTTCTTAGCAACTTCGTTCATCCATTCTTTTTTCTTCATTTCTTTCTTTTTTCTTTCTTTTTTATCATTGTTACATTCTTTCCTTTTTTTTCTTCTTTTTCCTTTTCTCTTTTTTTTTTTTTTTTTTGTTTATTTCTGTCTCATCATTTATCATTATTTCCTCTTTCTTTTTCTTCTCAGTTATTATTGTTTCCTGACATTCTCTTCCGACATTTCACTTTGGACATTCTTTGGTTTATTTCTTCTTCTGTCTCCTTCTTTCGCTTCCTTTCTGAACACCTTCGCTCATTTTTTCTTTCTTTCTTTCTTTCTTTCTTTCTTTCTTTCTTTCTTTCTTTCTTTCTTTCTTTCTTTCTTAGATAAGAAAACGATATAAATTAATTAATTTGAAAATGAACAAGTGTACATTTGAAGAAGGGAAAGTAACGTACGGGTAAAGAAAAGAAAGAAAAATGAAAAAAAAAATGAAAGAAAGAATAAACAAAACGATTAAAAATAATGAATTTAAAATGAAAGAGAAGTGTATAATGGTAATTAGAAGAAGATAACGTACGGATCAAAGAAAGAAAAAAGAAAGAAAGAAAGAAATAAAGAAAGAAAGAAAAATAATAAATAAACAAAATATATAAAAGTATAAATTTTAAAATGATAGAGAATTGTCGAATGGAGAAATGAATAAAAAGCGGAAAAGAAGGAAAAAAATATGCAAGTAAGTCTAAATCAGTGTTTCCCAACCGTTTTTTATCTCATGAAACACCTGATTCTATAGTTAAACTTCGCGAAAAACTTAAATCATGAAGATCAAGAACGAGTGAAAAAAAAATGAGTATAATTTTTTAGATTTATTTATTAACACAAACAAAACAATATATTTGGGAAATCCACCATAAAGGAATGACGTAATATTTGTTGTTGAATATGTCTTTTGCAATCTTCTGTCACTTCTTATTTCTTTATTTACTATGTATGCGTTTATATTATTATAACAATGATATAATCACATAATTAATTAAAAAAAAGTTTTAACTTTGATATGTAGATGTATTACGCCTGGATTTCTTTCGAAAAAAAATTAATTCAAACATTTATAATTTTTCTAAACACACCTACAATTCTCTCACATCACAGGTGACACAATGGTAGCAGTGGTGTTTCTCTACAGAGCTTTAATTGTCTGAACAATTCTGGAAGGTATACCATAGAGTAGGAGGATTTAGAACTTGAGATCTTTACTGATAAAATCAAACGCCTTGCAAGAGTCAATAAAACAGATTTTGACCTTTTTCTTGGAATTTTTCATCACTGCCATTATGCAGAGAATCAAATAGAGAATTAAGGATAGGCAGATCGACAAGTGCTCTAATTCTCTCCATTCACAGCATACTGAATGTGTCAATCGATCCATTCCTCCAAAAGAAAAAGAATGGATTTAGGATAGGCAGGTCGACAACTGCTCAAATTCTCTCCATTTGCCGCATTCTGAATGTGACAATCAAGTCATTCCTCCAAAAGAAACAGAATAGGTTTAGAAAAGACAGGTCGACAACTGCTCAAATTGACTCCTTTCGCCACATACTGAATGTGACCATCGGTCCATTCCTCCAAAAGAAACAGAATGGATTTATAATAGGCAGGTCGACACCTGCTCAAATTCTCTCCATTCGCCACATGCTGAATGTGTCAATCGATCCATTCCTCCAAAAGAAAGAGAATGGATTCAGAATAGGCAGGTCGTCGAATGCTCAAATTCACTCCATTCGACGCATACTGAATGTGACCATCGATCCATTCCTCCAAAAGAAACAGCTCAAATTCTTTCCATTCGATATGGAATGATGGGTTCTATCTGGGAAGGTCTATAGTTCGCCTGTGTATTTGCAATCTTAATAGCGTTAGTGTAGCGATAGGCTAAAACGTGTCGTTTACAGGAAATGGGTTGACGAATTTCACCACCTATAATCGCTTTTGAACTCTGTCGAGAGTGAAAGTGAGGGCTATTCAGTTTCAGCCCAGATCCGGCAGAAATACAGCATGTTTAGATTTTCCTGCACGAGACAAAATGTTATCTCCCTTTGACTTACCCAGTGGTTTCCAAATCTATTTGGTGCCATACACATTACGTTATTCCTAAAATTCTGGTGCCCCACTGTAATATTTAATTCTTACATAGTCAATATTTTACTGGAATTTACGTGAAGGAAGCTTAAAAGACCCTTAACTTGGTCTCTAAACAAGCCTCCAAACATCATGGCGTTCATGATAGAGAAAGATTAAAAACAAAAAGACATTAAGACAGTTAAATATATATAATTTCAAAACCTAGAGAACTGAAAGGCAGAAATATAAAATATTTGAATGAAAGTTTATTCTGTAATATACTTTGATCATTTTAATAAAGAAATAATGATGCTAAATCAAATTTGAGTTCACTAGAAAATAATTCACTGTTAACAATTCATTCTCGAATTGTCCCCTTATTCTGTTGGTATAGTAAACCGAAGGGTGCACATCCTACGCATGCCTCACCAAAATATTACCATGCCCCACTAGCAGGGTATGCGCCCCACGTTGGGAATCACTGATTTACATATCATTGTTGACAAAATTATTTAAAAAAATAATGCGTGATTCAATCTCTTCATCATTCTTCGACGTCTCTATGTTTGGCCAGAAATCTATTGACAGTGTCTTTCCATACTGTTCGGTACTTCATTACTGTCCCCAGATTCTTAATGTCCGACACTGAGTCCCGAGGTATGGTGCAATTTTACTGAGAAGACACTTCTAGAAGGATGCTATAGCAGTAAGGATGAGTAAGGATACCCTACCAAAATATTACCATGCCTCAGCAGTGTAGCATGTGCTCTACGTTGGGAAGCATTGCTTTAGATATTCCGAAATTTTGACAATGTCTGGCACAAAGGTTTGCTGTCCAAGTTCTCCAACAATGGAATCACTGGAAGTGTCTTTTCAAGTATAAAGTCTTTCCTAACGTTTCGTTAACGGCCAGTCTTTTGGGTCCCTAGCAGTCAACACAGGCGTGCCACAGTGTCTTCTTGAACCAAATCTCTTTTTTACTTTGATCATTTTAATCATGAAATAATAATGCAAAATGAGCTGACTAGAAATTAATTCACTGTTAATAACTCATTCCCGAATTCTCCCCTTATTCTGTTGGTATAGTAAACCGAAGGGTGCACATCCTACGCATGCCTCACCAAAATATTACCATGCCTAACAGGAGGGGCATGGCCCTACGTTGAGAATCATTGGTGTAGACAGTCACTTGGCTCAATATCAGTATTAATAAACTCCGCTACTAGGATCTTTCTTTTGAGAGACAAAAAAGTTTTCTCCCTTTGAAAAGCTAAAAATAGATATGTAGATAATCACGAGAATGAAATACAATCACGAGAACAGCACGAGAGTTTGTTAGACTGAAACTCAAACATCCTTTTTAGTTCCTGGAAGTCAAACTAGAAAGACATATGTATCCAGGCTCGTGACAATCAACATATAAAGAGGATAAATATATATCCAAGTGATTTATATGAAGACTTTTGTGATTTATTTGAACATTTTATATGTTTATGTCTTATAGTTATTCGCTTTGTAAATGAAATGAATAGCCTATATTCACGCACAATAGTTCCATCTCTCTCCTCCTGTAAAGATAGAACAAATAAGTTATTTTTTTCCTGGAGTGGCTCATGAAACCGACCATTTCTTCGGGCTACTTCGTTGATGGATTATATATCCGGATTACTCAGCGTTTATTCTGTTTTAAACAATATCGGAATACTTATTCCTAAGACTGAGTTATTCTGGCTTGGTTCTTTCGTAACTTAGGCGTTACGTTAGGATTCTTTAATTTCCGTAATACGATAATCTTTTGAACGGGTGTTTGTCTAAATTTATTCATTTAATAAAGGATTCAAAATGATTTTGAAATCTTGTCGCGATGACACATGCCTTTTGAAAAACCTGACAAATAGATCACAGTTATGTTAATAACAAACAACCATCCATTTTGAATAATCGATAAGCGTGAAAAAAGCGCATTAGCAAATGAAACAAAACACTTACGTCATATGCATTAGAAACTTCTTAAAGCATTTAAATAGAACACTCTTCTATACTTAAGAAAATGAATATAAAAATTAAACATATATATATATATATATATATATATATATATATATATATATATATATATAAAATAAAAGAACAAATAAGAAATGTATATCAGCATTTTTATTAAAGCTTGAAAGTGAAACATGTTAGACTAATATACGATTTTTTTCAT